ATTTAATTTGTTTGAATCTCGATTTAATGTGTTTGTCAATGAGTTTAGTAGGAAAGCAATTATTTGTTAAAATTGTAACGAAGCGCTCAACTCTTCCCCGGTTCTGGATTCCGGACAGGACTCCGGCGGGTATTATTTATTACGCGAATAAATACGGAACTTAGTCGGACGCGCGGTTCCGACTAACGGTTGGAAGAGTTGGCGTTCTCGCGGTCGGTGTTGACGTGCTGTGTGTCGGCTAAAAGAAATCCTCCGTTCCTCTGATTTGCCGAATATGCTCAGCTCCAGGGCCGTCGAGAGGAAAGAAGGAAAAGATCTTACTTACTGGTAGTGAGGTAATCGCTTGGAAGGATCGGAAATAAATCGGACAAGTATTTAATTTGGTAGAACGATAGGAGCGTGTTTATTCAAGGATTGATACACGGGATCGAGGTAATTACAATGGGTCCGCCCTGTGATTAAAATATAAAGGAAAAGAAAAGGATTAGTGATACAATGGGTCCGCCCTGTGATTAAATACAAGAAAAAGGAAAGGATTAGTTGGATTATATCGATGTACAGCAAGTACGCAACGGGAATCGAGATACAGGAATATTAATGTGATTATACGGATTTCTAATAGTGTACAGAAGGTACGCACTGGCTCGGAGTACAGGAATATATGATTATTAATAATAATAATAAAGTACGCAAACGGATAATATGATACGGATAATCTAATGACTGGATAATCTGATCTGGATAATATAATACGGATAATATACTGGCAACGTGCCGGAAACAAACAGGAAGGATGTCTGTACGGAATCCTCTGGTTCGTAACAGGAAAAACAGTGACGGAATTAATTCTACGGAAGCCTACGCGCAAATTGGAATTAATTCCCACCCGAATATTCCCCCCTGAGCTCTACACCGGTCAGGAATCAGGAAAGGGATCAGGTCAGGTCAGGAACACGCTCGAGCAGCGCCTCGATATGCGTGAATTTCAGTAGTATTTGTACACCGAGGAGCACCCCGTTAAGTGTACGCTACTGCGGAATTACTCCGTCCCCTCGAAACACGGCGGTACCCGTCGTCACGGGGGGAACGGAGTCAGGATGGATACAGGAGACCGGTACAGGAAAAATGTAGCATGTGTACGCCGAGGAGCACCCCGTTAGGCGTACGCTACTGCGGGACGGAGCCCACGACGGAGTAGCGCCTCCGTTGTGTGCTCCGGTATGGTATATAGCCGGAGACAGGAGCACCCATTCACTCCGGCGTATACCTGCAGTGGAGGCATCCACTGCCGGTTGTCTCCGCTCGGAGCTCCGAGCGAAGACTGAGATCACTCGCCTGCTCCGGTGGGGCTTTTATACCCCCGGAGTGTAGGCGCGCGGGTAGAGGCGGCGGGGGCAGGCGCGGCGTTGCCGGCTACCGTCGACGTGGCAACCGCGCCGTTATCGATCGCTCACTCGCACCCAGTAGTTCTCTCTCGCGCTTGCGCCTCCCCTGTCGCCTTCGTCACAAAATGTTTTTTACAATTTGGATGTTACCTTGGTGGAAACGGCTGTCAGATAGGATAATTGCTAGGTCAACTAAGTTTGCAATTGTATTAACTTTATATTTTAGAGGATGGTTAGAAAAAAAGTTAATATATCGTCCAGAGAATGTGGGTTTTCTGTACCAATTAGTAATTAACATTCCATCACATCTCTGGACGGTTGTATCTAGGAAATTGATAGAATAATTGATTTCAGTCTCGTGAGTGAACTTGAGTCTAGGGTGGTAAGTGCTAAAAAGCTAGGAGTATGTCATTAATTTTGGATGTCGGTACTATAGTGAAGATATCGTCAACGTATCTATATAAAGTCGTAATATTAAAATTTAAAAACTGCAAGCACTGTGTCTCCAGATCGTCCATCACTATGTGTTCGAGAGTCATTTTTGAATCTCGGTCAGTTCGTCACCGGCGTGATGGCAGCATCAGCCCGGTCAGATCGTGCGGCGCCGTATGAGCGCTGCTCGCGCATGCTCGGTCGCGACACGAGGCGACGGTGCGACTTCACGTGCGTTACCGGCGCTTTTGGCTCATGGTAACCGTACGTAGTACACGCGTCTCGTAGTGCAAAAGATTTTTGAGTGCTCTTGTGGACCTTCTCATCAGAGACTAGACTCAATGCGGACACATAGTGATCTCACACGGTGTACGACTTACTCTTGTTCGCTACTGTCAGTGCACTAGCTGACTCGTCGGTTGCAGACATCCTATTTTCTTCTTTAATGAGTCGCGTCGTTAACCCTTGCAGTGTTTGCTTACCTGCGTCCACACTGTCCCACGCTGTGACTAGCGCATTAACTTTAGATGGCAGGCTGCCCAAAATCTTTGCCATGAGAGTGACCTCGGAAACCGTCTCTCCTAAATCTTTTAGTTGTCGCGCCATGTTTTCAACCTTCGCAATATGCTGCGTAACAGAGTCACCTGTGGCCATCCTGTATTCGTGAAATCTAGTCATTAAAAGTAATTTGTTAGACTCACTTTGTTGCTCGTGGATTGAACGTAATTTTTGCCACATCTCTGCCGACGATTCACATGTGATTAAATAATCCAGCTGCGAGGTATCCATTGAGGAGGAAAGTATAAACATAGCTTTAGCGTCACGCTGAATCCAAGCCTTCTTCTGTGTTGCATCTTCCGGTTTTGTCTCGGATCCATCCACGATGCCCAGAATGTCGTTCGCCACGAGAATCGCCCTCATTTGGAATTTCCATGCTTGGAAGTTCGTGCCATCGAATCTGGCCACATTCTTGAGATCGAGGGATGCACTCATCTTGACTGTCCTTTTCAAGAGTCCTTACAACGGAATGAGTAAATAATTCCACACCGCGTGCTTACTTTTGTCGCTTATACCGTGTGGCCTGGCGAGACCTGGGCCCATAACCTATTAAGATTTAGTCTTTCCCGAAAGTGATCGAGAGAATGTCCGTATAGCAACAAGGAGAACGATACAATGTTAATCACGCTATGTATGATGAGACAAAAACACTTTATTAAGAGGCTCGATGAGATCACCACTACAGGTACACGAAAAAGGATGCAGGCGGATACAACGTGTTCACGCCGTGCGCTCTCGAACAGTACAGCAGGATCAGTAGTGCGCGCGCAGAGACAAAAGAAAGGTTACGCGCTTGGCAACACGCGAGTACAGAACGACATTAGGACGCACTCATAATAACGCATATCAGACTAAACGAAAACTTAAAATAAACACGCAGAATTTCAATCTTAACACCTCCTACTCGTAGCAATTTGTTATCGTGAAGAAACGGATTCAAGGTTTTGAGTTTACTTGACCTGGCGAGTGGACTTCCTGTTTTGACAGATAGGATTTCTTCCGAGAAATGAGAGTCTTGAACTGAGCGAACCCAAATTAGACGCGCTAACTTTATCGCAGCAGATAAGGAGGATTCCAAGGGTTCTTGAGCGATACTAGGAAAACGTTTGTAACGCGAAAGTTTGCAACAGAAAATAATGCAGTAAGCAGTTACCCTGAGTAGTCGGGATCAGGAGGAGAATTCGTAGAGCAGGTTCCATTCCGTCGGATCAGGACGAGCAATCATTATTTTAACCGATCTCTTTTCTTCATCACAGTCGGCCTTTTCCAGGAGCGAATGCTCTTTGCAGAAAGAGTCCGGTTCTTTGAGCCATTGGGGTCCGTACCACCAAAGTTGATGATCTTTAAAAGAGAGTGTGGATATACCACGAGAGGCGCAATCCGCTGGGTTTTGTTTAGTGCTGACGCATCCCCACTTTGCTTCAGGTAATCGGTTTTGAATGTCGGTTACTCTGTTAGCTACGAAGGGCTTCCAAATAGAAGGCTGTTTCTTTAGCCACGCTAGAGTAATCGTAAAGTTCGACCAACAATGGATCGGAGTTTTGGAGAGATTTAAGGCGAATTTTACAAACAGTAAGAGTTTAGAGAGTAACACAGCTGCACACAAATCTAATCGAGGGATGCTGACTGTTTTGATGGGAGCCACTTTAGTTTTACTGGCAAGTAGGCACGTCATGATTCGATTGTAGTTAGCAAATACTCTGAGGTAGACTACTGCCACATAAGCTCTGCTAGATGCATCAGCAAATCCGTGTAATTAGATTTCAAGTACATCAGGGCCTTGATCAGTCCACCTCGGTATTGATATTTCGTGCAGACTCTTCATGTCACAAAGAAGACAATCCCATACCTCGCGAAGGTCACTGGGGAGCGGGGTGTCCCAATCTAATTTGCGAATCCACGGTTCTTGTAGGAATAATTTAATTTTGAAGAGGTGGATCGCCAGTGAATAAAAAAACCAATTTTAAGAATTAAATCAACAATAACTGGCGAATATATTTTAATTAGTTACACGACGTTTCGGCCAGTAATACTGGTCCTTATCAAGTGTTGACCCATTAAGTGTGACAGCAAAGAATCTGCAAGGTTTAGTGAACGCAGGTACAGAAATCAGGTACACGAGATATAATTATACAGTAGTATTGAAGACACTTACGGGCGACATATCGAAGTATGTAGTTTTGTGGAAGTACAATACATGGTCGAAAAATAAAATCACTATAGTAATACGTATAAAGCTGATCAAAAACTATTAGAAGCGTCAGGTATTGTAAAAGGCTGGTAAAATAATGACGGTGTTATGCCCGTAAGTGTCTTCAATACCACTGTATAATTATATCTCGTGTATCTGATTCCTGTACCTGCGTTCACTAAACCTTGCAGATTCTTTGCTGTCACACTTAATAGGTCAACACTTGATAAGGACCAGTATTACTAGCCGAAACGTCGTGTAACTAATTAAAATATATTTGCCAGTTATTGTCGATTTAATTCTTAAAAAAAAGGAATAATTTAGCTGAAATAACCACCGGAGAAACAAATTCTAAAGGATCAAATATTCGAGAGATAATTGATAGAACTGAGCGTTTGGTAGGCTCGTTGGAATTTTGAGAAGCCTTCGCAGTGTCAGTCAGATTGAACTGGAAGGAAAGACAATCGAGCTTCAGGGTTCCAGGCTAGACCCAAGGCCTTGATTGTTTGTTCATCAAAAAAGGGTACGTCGAAACCTGTGAGGAGGTCCGACTTTGGTATGTCACAAAGCAATTCATCGGAATTAGAAGTCCACTTTCGTAAATGAAAGCCTCCCAATTCCAAGAGAGAGTTTAATTGTTCCCGGAGTTTTTTAATTTCAGAAACATTGTGTGCTCCGAACAGTACATCGTCCACATAAGTTGAGTTTTCCGAGACGGAAACGGCCAGTGGGAACTCGGTTCCTTCATCGAAACGCAACTGTTTCAGAATGCGCATTGCCAAATACGGCGCGCAAGCGGTACCGTAAGTTACGGTTAGCAATTTGAAAGGTAAGACTTGTTTGCCTTTGTCTGAACGTCACAAGATCCTTTGAAATTTCGTGTCGTAAGGGTGTATAAGTATTTGCCGAAACATCTTAGCGATGTCGGCGACATATACTAAATGATGAATCCTACATCTAAGCAGGATAGTGGGGAGATCCGATTGCAGCTTAGGGTCAGTCAGCAGCTGACCATTCAGAGACGTACCAGAACTAGTGGGACAAGAAGCGTTGAATACAACCCTAAGAGGGGAAGTGGTACTCGTGTCCCTAAGAACAGGATGATGAGGCATATAGTAAACGGGAAAAGCCGGAGGATCTCGGTTTTCCAAACCCGAAACAGAAACCATATGTCCTAGCAGTTTGTACTCGTTTAGAAAAAGATGATATGCCTCCGCAAGTTTAACATCCTTGGAGAGACGGTTTTCTAACCGATCGAGAGATCGTGAGGCGATTTGGTAAGAGTTTCTGAACTCGGTTACCGCATCCCTTTTGAAGGGCAATCTCACAATATAACGGCCGTCGGAGCGGCGAGAGTGGGTAGAAACGAAATACAGTTCGCATTGAGTCTCCTCCTCAGAGAGAACTTTGATTTCTGGAATCTCCTCCAGTTCCCAGAATGCACGGAGGTCAGAGTCCTCCGGACTACGGATAGACGATTGCAGACAGGAAACCCCTTCAGTTTCACAATGACCTTGTCGCCTAGAGAGAGCGCAAGATCCGAAGACGATCCAGCCGAAAATAGTGAGCTGAGCGATAGGTTCGTCAGCCGAACCCTTTTCGTAGTCCATCGCGTAGGATAGACCCGTATATATCGGCACCAATTAATAAGTCAATGCGCTCGGATTTTGACGTACTAGCGTCCGCGAGTTTAATTCCCCGTAAGTGAGGGATGGAGTTAAAGCATTGAATAGGACTGCCTCGGTAGGATGTGAGGTTCGGCAGGATAAGAGCACCGGCTGTTATAAATTCTCTGTCGTTTCCGCACGCGCTTAAGAGTATCTGAGTTTTAAAATGAGCGACATTGGCACAATGATCTCCTATGCCCGTTACCCGAATTTTAATTTTTTGGCGAGCTAGTCGTAAAATTTGCGCAGCTCGCTCCGATATAAAGGTGGCTTCCGAGCCCGAGTCTATTAAGGCGCGTAGTTGAGAGGAACGACCTTCGACAGAGCGAACGGTTACTCTCGCGGTAGCGAGGAGCACCGGAGGCAGTGAGAGGTCGGACTCCTGAGAAATCAATGCTTTCAGAGCATGCTTCGATGTAGATTCACCCACGTCTTTGCCCTCTAATCCGTCGTCAGCCTTTTCCGACTCGGCCATCTCATCATCCGATTTATCGTTTTCCTTTACCTCGTGCAAAGGAGTATGATGCTGACGTTGGCAGCGAATACATCTCCTGCTCGAGAGACAATTGCGGGGATAGTGCCCTTTTCCCAGACAGTTATAGCAACAGCGATATTTTTTTACAAGTTCCTTACGTTTTCCTAAGGACAGAAATTTAAATTTAGTACAATGATACAGCGCGTGATTTTCGTTACATAAAACACATTTTGATTTGTCGACAGCGGAGACGAGGGATTTCGTGGTTCCCGCGCGGTTTGACCTTTTAGACAATTCGTTTATGTGTTGTGTTGCTTCTAAGGCTCGTAGTCGGTTGACTAAAAATAGACTCAGTTCCTTATAAGTTGGAAGCTGTACCGAGCCACCGAGAAGAAAATTCCATTCTTGCAAAGTATTGAGATCCAACTTACGTTCTACTATCGCGACCACGAAATCATCGTCCACCGTTCGGCCAAGATTTTTCAACGCATGAATCGAATCGTTTACAGTATCGTAAACGCGTTTGAGTTCGGCGGCGTGCTCGGATTTCATCGACGGCAAATCGAGAATGGCTCGTAAATTTGTAGATACGATCATCCTTTTATTTTCGTAACGCTGCAACAATTCTGCCCAAGCTGTTTTGTAATTAGCTTCGGTGACCGATATATTTTTTAAGATTAAGCTAGCCTCGCCAGCCACGCTAGATTTTAGGTAGTGCAGTCTTTGCACGTCCGTTAGAGAATCATACGAAGCTACTAATGACTGGAGAATAAGTCAGGAAAATTTGACCATTCCGAATATTGGCCCGTAAATTTTGGCAGTTGAATTCGAGACAAAGGAATTGGCGCAGCGTTACGTTCACTTACAGCCGAAGAATTGACCGTAACATTGGGATTAGATACGGAAGGGACCAGCTCATCCAGGCGTTCGGCGAAGAAGTCCAAGGCTTCGAGGTAGCTGTCTTCTGTCGACTGCATCTCGTCATCCCGGAAGTAAGGCAGTTTTTCCAATTCCTCAGCGGAGGCCGCGGCCATAATAGCAGCATTTAGAGTTTGGCATTTTTCCCACCTCTCTTTTAGTAAGGTTTGCCGGTTGCGAATGGTGCTGACGGTAAAATTCGACTGACCCATCTTCCGGAAGTTTTCCAGCGTTCTCTGAATTTGACGTATGACGTCACGTTGCTCTATCAATAATTTATTCATTTTCGACATCGATCGGTAATTTACAGTATCACACTGTAGAACCTTTCGGCTTGGACCGTTGGACGTGAGCGTGTTGACGTTGTGTGAATATAAAGGCGATCAAGTGTAACACAACAGCGGTTTATTTTGTATCTTGTCCTCGAGATTCTCCTCTCTCTTGTTGCGAGCGAATCCTCTCCCTACTGGTATAATCGAAAGACACTCACAGGGCCGGGCTTTGAATCCGGCCTGAAGGACCAATAAATGTTTAATTAAAGAATTAAACTTCGTGTTTTCCCGCGAGCAGTCCTGTCGTTACTCCTGCGCTCTTCATCAGGCCGAAAGGCTGTGGCCTGATAACGGGCGCGCCACGTAGTGAGGCACTTTTACGAACGGTGAGGGTTCCGAGGATTGAATATTCCCGTTTTACAAAAAACGAATCCACTTTTTATTATAAAAACGAGTTACACAATTTTGACACTCACACTCAATTTACAAGAAAAAGTCTACTCTTCGTTTCTAATAGTATTCGACTGACCGTTAAGACTTTCGATACGATGTGACCTTATCCCTCTCGCTTTTGTAAACGCGTTAAAGATCGCGCGCGTAATCTTCTGCTACACATAATCCATTTCTAAACAATTACTATTGTAGAGAAGATATTTTGAAGGGGGGAGAAGATAAAAATTTTGTTTAAATAAAAGATATCCAAATAACTTAATTATATATTTCTTGATTGGATGGCGCTTATACTTGGCGTCTTTTTTAAACTTTCTTTATAAAAAGGTTATTTTTTTAGGTGATCGTATTATATGTATATACAGAGTATTGCATTTTAATCGCCCCAGGCAAATATCTCGAAAAATATGAAAGATATGGAAAAACGTTTCAGACAAAAGTTGTTTGGTTTGAAGGGGGACATATGATGGTGTCAATGGTTTGACCTTGAGTGAACGTGCTAAGGTCATATGGAGTTGAACTTTGTTTTTTTTAAATGGGACTCTCTACTTTTCATTACATATTCTTGCAGCTTACCTCGAGAGCTTTTCAAAACACTATAATAAAGTACTTTTTCATTCAGTACTTTTTGAGTTGTGAGGCATGTAAGTTACAGTACCGTCGGCATTAGCATTACCCAAGATCGATCCGGCCAGTGAAGGCAAGACCGACTGACTCAGTAGGGTCACATCAAAGTCACATTCATTCATTTCATCATCTTTATTACACTTTAGCATACAGCCAGAAAGTGGGACTTGGTTTACAAAAAGTCTTATCCATTCATACCATCCAAACTCAACACGCACCCAATTCTATTTCCTACTCTATTTTACGCTACACACCGTTAATATCACACAATTACCCCCTATATCCTAAACTTAGTTTGACTATTTACATTCACCTTCACATTTATCTTTCTGTTTATCCTCACATTCACCATTACATTTGTCCTTACTTACTTTATATTCTCACCAACATTTTACATTTTACATTTTACATTTTCATTCTTGATTCTTTCTTTTTCCTTCCAAACTTTACAAACCACCTTTCCTTTCAACTCATCTAGCGTATCGTTAAACAATCTCTCCATTTTCTCTTTGTCACTATTACCTAACCCTAAAAACCATTCCTTTGCGATTTCGCAATCCTTGATATAGTGCTCGAAGTTATCCCTACCTTTTCCGCAGAATACGCATTCGCTTTCCCCATTATCCTTATATAACCAATACTTGTTTTCCTCCTCCATATTGCCACATCTTGCTCTTATTTCCCTTCAATTACCATACTTTTCCATATTACCTAACTCCAAATATTTCGGACTTTCTATTGTACATAATTCTCTATATCTTGTATTATATTCTGCACCTCTTATTCTACCATCTATCCATTGTTTCTGTATATCCCTATCCCTTAGTAATAGTTCCTTACACAAATTTCTCTCTTCCCTAGCCATACTATCTACTGCAATTGTACCCCACCCATTCCTGTTATAATACTCCTCTCTTTCTATACCATATAAATCGTTCCATCCTTCTTTTTGCTTTTCTTTCCAACATATCCTAACCCATCTACCTTCTTCCATATTCCTTATTTTTTCCTCGTACCTTCTCGCACCTAATCCCCATCCTATTTTTAATTTATCTAAATCTAACTCCCTGTAAATCAGATACCTTGGCGTACAAAAATCTAGTTTAAACATCCATCTAATATAGTCCATCATTACCTTTTCCAAATTCTTTCTCTCTACCCACCCCCATACTTCTACACCATATGACATAATGCTCTTAACCAAATATACAAATAACATTCCTCGTCTTGTAAAATCGTCTTTACATATTCTTTCACCCAACCCCCATACCTTATTTGCCGCTTTCCTACCCTTTATACCTAATTCCTCTATGTGGTCTTTATAATCCCCTCTTCTATTAAAAATAAAACCAAGATATCTAAAAGTTTTAACCTCTTCTAATTCCTTTCCCATCCAATTCCATTTTTCTATTTTTTCCTTCCCTTTTTTGTTAAAAACCATAATTTTCATTTTGTCCGTATTCAATATAAGTTTCCTATCCTTTAAAAATTTCCTAAAAGTACCTAACATATCTAATAAAGCCGTCCTATTTTTCGCCATTAACACCATATCATCCGCAAAAGACAATGACCATACTCTTTCGTTGCCTAATTTTATTCCTCCTATATTCCTATTCCTCATATAACTATCTACCTCTGCTATATATACATTAAATAACGCCGGACTCAAAACACATCCCTGTCTTACTCCTTTCCTTGTGATGAATTTTTCCGTGTAGCTATCCTCAATCCTTATTACGTTGTATGTTTCCTCATATATTCCTCCTATTCTTCTTACTAAACTATGGTCCATTCCTTTATCCTTCATCAGATTCCATAACCTCCCTCTGTCCACTTTGTCAAAAGCTGCCTTTAAATCCACGAACGCTGTATATATTTTCCCATCCTCCTTCCTTTTATCTCTCTGAACCAGGTGGGAGAGGACGAATATATTGTCTACCGTACCTCTACCCCTCCTAAATCCAGCCTGACTTTCCGGGATCAGGTTCAACCTGTCCGTTTCCATTTCCAGCCTACCTCTTAGAACCTCAGCATAAATTTTGTAAGCCGAGCACAACAGGGAGATACCCCTGTAGTTCTCAGTCCTTTCCTGGTCACCTTTCTTGAATAAAGGCACCAGTATGCTAGTTCTCCAGTCCGTTGGAATCGTACCTTCTCTCCAGACCTGTTTAACAATGTCTATTAAACCCTTCCTTATCGTAAAACCTCCATATATCCATGCCTCCATTGGTATACCATCAATACCAGCAGCCTTCCTTTTCTTCATTCTTCTTACTGCATTCATAATTTCCTCCCCTTCAATTTCCTCTTCTTTCTCTTTGTTTCTTCTAGCCCAGCTTCCAGTATTTGTCCAAACTTTTTCCTTTTCCTTTTCCAGAACTCCTTCCTTGCAGCCTTCTATCTTCTCGCCTTCCAATAACTTCATAAAATGTTTTTCCCAATCTTCCTTCTTAATGTTATTCTCCACGTAAACTCTTTTTCCTCTTTTCCTATTTATATATTTCCAGATTTCCATGCTGTTTTTCAAATTCTTCAGTTCCTCTTCTTCCTTTAATTTCCAACACCTTTGTTTCTCTTCAAAGTAAGTCTTCAGTTTCTTTTTTTCCTCTATATAATCCTTGTGTCTGATCTTCCCTTTCTTCCATCCCTTGAACATTCTTCTTACTTGCCTTTTTCTCTTCGTACAGCTTCTATCCCACCAATCCTTATACCCAATCTTTCTCACCTTCCTTCTTCCTATAGCTTTTTTTACCATGGCCTCATTTATTATGTTCTTAATTTTATCCCATTTTTCCTCGATTGATAATCCTTGATCCTCTTCCATCCATTGCATAGAGTCCGATTTTACTCTGAATTCCTCGATTGCCTTTACATTCCAACATATCTTCATTCTTTTTACTTCACCAGCCTCTTCTCTTTCCTCTTCTTCCTTTTCCTCTTCCCTCTTCTTTTCTTCTTCCGCTCCAATCTCCATTGACAGGGGCATGTGATCCGAGTCCACCCTATCCTCTACCTTAAAATCTATTACAATATTCAAACCACATTCATTAACAATAACATAATCTATTACTGAGTTACCTCTATTTCCAACATATGTATATTCTCCCTCCTTATCACCTCTCAATACACCATTCCAAACATATCCTCCTATTTTATCCAATAGATCTCTTAGATTCTTACCTCTTTTGTTTGTTATCTTATCCTTACATCTCCTTCTCGTTTGCCAATTTTCATCCTCGCTATCTCTTTCCTCTCCCATCCTTGCATTGAAGTCTCCTCCAATAATAACATACTCCCCCCTAAATTCCTCCGTTATATTAATTATTCCCTCCTCCACTTTTTGCCAATCATCTATATTATATACTGAACCTATAATCAAATTTTTTCCCCCCTTATCGTTACAAAACCTATGTAAAACCACACCTTTCTCCAGGATTTTAAAATCCCACCTACCCATATTTTCCCATTCTTTTTTTATTCCTATTATAAAACCTCCCTTTGCCCTACCTCTTTTCTTGTCCCTTACAGCGTAACTACACACCCATACATGCGATTTTGGGAGTATTCTTTTAATCCTTTTCCATCCTTTTTCCTCTACCCAAGTTTCGCACAAACTAATGTAATCCCACCTTATTAAGTAATTCCAAAACTCAGTATCTTGTCTCCCTATCCCCTCTACATTCCAAAATATAATTTTCTTTCTATATCCTACCTTATCCTGTAAACCCTTCTTATTTTCCGTCTTCCCTATTTCACTTCCCGCTTTCTGGCTTATCCAAAATTTCTATCGTCCTTCTCTCTATTCTTGTTTTCCCCCCTTCTATTCTTATTTCCCCTTCTGCCCCCCCATCCCTCTTCCTTTCCTCTATGTCTGCTTCAATCTCTCTCCATTTTCTCCATTTACCCTCTATCATAACCCAACCCTTACCTACTTTCACATTCCTACCCTTTTCCTTTTCTCCTCTTGCCCATCTATTAATTTTCTCCTGTACCTTCCTTTCTTCGTACGACAGATCATTTTCTATAAATATATTTCCTCCCTTTAACTTATTTTTATTACTCATAATTTCCTTTTTCATCTTATCATTCTCTAACTGAACCACAATAACCATTCCACTTTTCCAGCATTTCTTAACCTTAACATCTACCTGTACATTTTCTTTAATCATTTTTTCCATAATTTCATTTGTAATCCATCCTTTAAATTCCCACCCTCTAATTATTATTCTCTCTTTCCTTTCATCTCTATCCCGTTCTACCGCCAATCTCTTAAGCAAACCTATTTCCTTGTCACTTAAATTATCGCTTGCTTTACTCAATCTGCTCAATCTACTTATGTTTCCCCCGGAATTCCTTCTGCTTTCCTGCCCTGATATCCTACCTCTTGTGCTTACGCTACTGTTCCTCTCACTACTGTCCTCTTGTTCTCTTAACCTAACTCTCAAACTATCCTCTATCTCCCAATTCCTATTCATTTCTCTCTGCTCAATTACAAATTTTTCGATTACTAACAATCTTTCTTCCATGTCCTTAATTATTTTTGTCCAATCTGCTTTCATACTTTCCAGCTCACTTCTGAATTAATCTTTTAATGCTTCTATAACCTCTTTTTCCCTGCCTGACCCCGAGTTCTCAAAACTAACTTTCTTCTGTATCTTTACCACACCTTCTTCCGTTTTACTCTGTTTTTCCTCTCTACTGCCTTTTCCATCCTTCACTCCTCTTCCTTTACCTGACATCGTTATCAATTTCTTATACGTCTTTCCTAACCTCTCAATACGCCTTCCAACCTTTTCTTCTATTCTACCCTCTTACCTTATACTTCTATTCCTGCCTCCACTTCCATCCTCTCCACTTACTTTCCTCTATCTAACTCTCCTATGCAACCTTCTCTCCGTATCGCTCATCAATCTAATTCTTACTTATTGTAAATTCACACTCGCTCACGCATCCGCTCGCACACACCGCACCTAACCAAGTCCCATCAAAGTCACATTGAGTATGTATTTTTGGTCTAGAGCAAATGCTCAAATGTACTACTATTCTGTTGGATACATAATTGCACTTTACTGCCCGGATCGATCTTGGGTTTTGCCTTCACTGGCTGGATCGATCTTGGGTCTTGCCTTCACTGGCCGGATCGATCTTGGGTCTTGCCTTCGCTGGCCGAATCGATCTTGGTTAATGCTAATACCGGCGGTACTGTAACTTTCAAGCCTCACAACTCAAAAAGTACTGAACGAAAAAGCACTTTATTACAGTGTTTTAAAAAGCTCTTGAGGTAAGCTGCAAGAATATGTAATGAAAAGTAGGGAGTTTCATTTAAAAAAACAAAGTTCAACTCTATATGACCTTGGCACGTTCACTCAAGGTCAAACTAATGACACCATCTTATGTACCCCTTCGAACCAAACAACTTTTGTCTAAAACGTTCTTCCGTATCTTTCACATTTTCAGAGAGATATTTGCCTGGGGCGATTAAAATGAAACATCCTGTACATTGCATATATTTTTCCACATTTAATTGTATTTTTCAAACAGTTTCAGCAATCGTCGTTACATGACATATGTTCCTCGAAGTAGTTATACGCCATCCGTTCCTCAAAGTTATACACCATCCTTAGTCTTCATGGCTTCCGGATGGTTGCCGCGTCCGTTTGCAGTGTGGTGCCGACGTTTCGCAGGCG